TAAACCACACAAAGACCCAATAAAGAAGAGAATTTCAGACAAATTTTTCTTATGAATATTGATGCAAAAAAAAACCCCAAAAACCAAAAACCAAAAAACAAAAAACCTCAACCAAAATACTCACAAACTTAATCCAAGAACACATAAAAATCATTATTTACCATAACCAAGTAGGCGTCATCCCAGGCATTCAAGGGTGGTTCAATATACAGAACTCCATCAATGTAATTCAACATATAAACAAACTGAAAGAAAAAAAATGTGATTATGTACCTAGATGCCAAAAAAAATTGACAAAATCCAACATCCATTCATGTTTAAAGTCTTGGAGAGATCAGGAATACAAGGCACATTCTTAAACATAGTAAAGGCAATATACAGCAAGCCTACAGCCAACATCAAACTAAACAGAGAGAAACGTAAATAAATTCCACTGAAATCAGGGACAAGATAAGGCTGTTCTCTCTCTCCATGTCGCTTCAATATAGTGCTTAAAATCCTAGCTAGAGTAATAAGACAACTAAAAGCGATCAAAGGGATCCAAATTGGAAAGGAAGAAATCAAAGTATCACTATTCACAGATGAAATGATAGTATACATAAGTGACCCCAGAAATTCTACCAGAGAACTCCTACAGCTGATAAACACCTTCAGCAAAGTGGCTGGATATAAAATTAACTAAAAATAATCAGTAGCCCTCCTGTACACACACACACACACACAAAAAAAAAAAAATGGGCTGAGAAAGAAATTAGGGAAACAACATTCTTCACAATAGACACAAAAATATAAAATATATTGGTGTAACTCTAATCAAGCAAGGGAAAGACTTATATGGAAAATCTTCAAGACTCTGAAGAAAGAAATTGAAGAAGATACCAGAAGATGGAAATATCTCCCATGCTCATGTATCGGTAGGTTCAACATAGTAAAAGTGGCCATTTTACCAAAAGCAATCTACAAATTCAATGCAATCCTTATCAAAATATCAACACATTTCTTTACAGACCTTGAAAGCACAATTTCCAACTTCATATGGAAAAACAGAAAGTCCAGAATAGCTAAAACAATCCTTTATAATAAAAGATCTTCTGGAGGTATCTCTATCCCCGATCTCAAGCTGTACTACAGAGCAGTATACGGCATGGTACTGGCATAGAAAGAGAATTGAAAATCCAGAAATAAATCCATACACCTATGGATACTTGATCTTTGACAAAGGAGGCAAAACCATACAATGGGAAAAGATAGCATCTTTGACAAACAGTGCTGGTCTAACTGGAGGTCTACATGGAGAAACATGCAAAAAGATCAATATTTATCACCCTGCAGCAAACTAAAGTCCAAGTGGATCAAAGACCTCAACATAAAACCAGACACACTAAATCTGTTAGAAGAAAAACTGGGGAAGAGCCTTGAACTCATTGGCACAGGAGACAACTTCCTGAACAGAACACCAACAGCTCAGACTCTAAGATCAATAATTAATAAATGGGACCTCATGAAACTGAAAAGCTTCTATAAAGCAAAGGACACTGTCAATAGAACAAAACAATAGCCTACAGACTGTGTAAAGATCTTCACCAACCCTACATCCAACAGAGGGTTACCATCCATAATATATAAAGAACTCAAGAAATTCAAAACCAATAAACCAAATAATCCAATTAAAAATGGGGTACAGAACTAAACAGACAATTCCCAACAGAGGATTATCAAATGGCCAAGAAGCACTTAAAGAAATGCTCAATGTCCTTAGTCATCAGGGAAATGCAAATCAAAAGGACTCTGATATTCCATCTTACATCTATCAGAACGACTAAGATCAAAAACTCAAGTGACAACACATGGTGAAGAGGATGTGAAGAAAAGGGAACCCTCCTCCATTGATGAAGGGGGTGCAAACTTGTACAACCACTTTGGAAATCAGTCTGGTGTTTTTTCAGAAAAACTGGGAACAGCTCTACCTCAAGACCCAGCTATACCATCTTGGGCATATACCCAAAAGATGTTCCACTATACAACAAGGCTACTTGCTCAACTATGTTTATAGTAGCTTTATTCATAATAGCCAGAAACTGGAAATAACTCAGATGTTCCTCAACCTAAGAATGGATAAAAGAAACTGTGGTACATCTACACAATGGAATATTATTCAGCTATCAAAAATACAAGGAAATCATGAAGATTCAGGCAAATAGATGAATCTGGAAAAGATCATCCTGAATGAGGTAACCAGAAAGACATGTATAGTATATACTTACTTATAAGAGGATGTTAGCCATACAATACAGGATAACCATACTACAATCCACAGACCCAAGGATCCCAAGTAACAATGAGGACTCCAGGGAGGAGGCTTAATTCTCATTCAGAAGAGCAATAGAATAGACACTGGAAGTGGTTGAAGAGAGGGAACAAGAAGGGAGCCTTCCATAGATGTCCTCTGAAAAACTTCCCAGCAGGGATCAAAGTAGGTGCTGAGACTTATAGCCAAACTTTGGGCAGAGCACAGGGAGTCTTATGGAAAAGTAGTGGGACAGAAAGACCTGGAGTGGATAGCCACTAGAAGACCAACAAAGCCATAAAGTATGGGCCCAGGAGGGCCTGCATAGACTTATGCACCAAGCAAGGACCATAGATGGGGAGGAACCAGACCCCTGTTCAGATGTAGAAGACAGGTAGCTCAGCCTCTATGTAAGTCTCCTAGTAAGAGGACCAGGGGCTGTCTTTGACATGAACTCTGTTGTCTGCTCCTTGATCACTTTCTCCAGGCGAGGTGGACTTGCCAGGCCACAGAGGAAGAGGATGCAGGCAGTCCTGAGGAGACTTGATAGTCTGGGGTCAGTTGGTAAGGCAAGAGGGCTCCCTCTTTCTGTGGTCTAGGGGACATGGATAGTAAGAAAGAGGGAGGGAGGGTGGTACTGGGAGCTGGCTATGATCAGGATGTAATATGAATAAATTAATAAATTAAAAATTATTAATATTCAAAGTATTAATAATATTATTTGTATTTATGATTTAACTATTTTATTATTATTACTAGCCTGATCTTGTCATTTGGGTAACATTTAAATGTACTTATAGGGGCTTGGAGCGAAGGTTCAGTAGTTTAAGAGCATTCATTACTTTTCTAAAATTCAGTTCCTGTACCCATACCTGGCTGCAGCCCACAACTGCCTGCTAACTCTAGTTCCAGGGGATCCAACGCTCTCTCCTGGTCTTTGTGGGCATCCACATACACTCACACAGTCAACCCCACCTGCATGTAAACAAAACTAAAAATAAACAAGTCCTGGAAAAGATGTGCTTCCAGGAGACTTGGCTATTGTTTATTTAACTGGGTGCTCTCATAACACTGGGCATTGATCTTAGGGGTTTGTGTTCAACGCTATATTTCCAGCACTGGGAGACTTTGTTTTCTTCAATGTGTACTTCCTAAATTTACAAAATGAAGAAAGGGTAATTAATTTGTTAAGCCCCACCACAGAGAGTATGGAAGGGTAAATTAGCCCCAGACAATGATGGCTGTGTGTCTTTTCTAAACAGGACCAGTCATTCCCCACTGCTTCTTTAGGGAAGTATTTCTGTGAGGACCAACCAAAGACAGAGAAGGCATCTGGCATGGCCGTGAGCAGGTCATGTTCATTATCATTCAGTCTTCTCTTGAAAGAGAATGTTTCCTGTCTGCTGACACATGCCTCTCCCTTCTCTACGTGGTTCCCACACTATGGAACTCATTGGGCTCTGGCTCCATTCAACTTAGCTGTCAGCCCTGTACTCTCCTTATCTCCCACACTAGACATTGTTGGCATTCCCCAAGGCCAGTCTTTCCCCTCTGCTTTGGCTTCATCTCGCCTCTCAGACACTGAAGATTTTCCAACCATACCTGAAACCTGGACTTTCCCCCAGGTCGCTGACCTGATTTTTCAACTGCTAACTGCATGTTTTACTTCTGCCCCAAGCTCCACATGTTCAGTATTAAACAGTTCACAGGCTGTTAATGATCAACAGGCTCCTGCTGGCTTCGCCTGCCTCTTCCACCCTGTATCCACTCTGTATCTATTCCATCACGTTGTTCTATCAATGTTTTCTTTTCTGTTCTCATCAAATGACTTATTGACTCACCCCCAAATATAACTTGCACTGCAAGTATCATCACGCCCAGTTTCACTAACGAAGACTGCTTTCTTGCATACTCTGTTGAAATATTGCAACAAGCCAGTCTCCATCTTATGAGCTTCATTCCCATTCATGCTTCCTCTCTGAATTCTCCTATCAAGAGCTGGCCTACTCTACCAGAAGGATCAAATATCTTTTCTTTTGAAACAAAATGATCATACCCCCCTTTTTATTTGAAGTGTTTTATTTAATTTTTTTTTATCATTTAGCTTCTTTTACTTGCATGGCTGGTGATACTGCCAATGAAATGTTAATTCCTCGAAGATAGGAACCATGTTTTAAAACACCATTGTACTGTGTACGTGTGCTAAACAGACTAGATGCTCCAGAATACTAGCTAGTTTGTTTGTTCTGGGTTCACCCAGTGGTCGAAATGGAGTGCACATTTCTCTTTTCTTCTAATACATCACTCATAAAGATATTTATTTTCCTCCAGAGTAATTGAAAAGAGTATAAGAACAGGACTGAAACGTCAAAGAGGGTTGGAAAGATGGCTCAGTGCCTTGTCTTGCTAGTCTTGACAACCTGAATTCAGTCCCAGGACCTACTTAGTGAAAGAGAAGATTGACTTATGCAAGCTGTCCTCTGACCTCCATGTCTGAACCTTGGCATGACTCCAAATAAATAAATGATATAACAAAAAATTGAAAAAGAAACATGAAAGAAAACATTCTGATAGATGTGCTTGCAAAATTTTTTCTCTTAGTACTACTGGAAGGTATATTTAATGCCTAGAGCTGTGTGATTTATGTTTTCCATTTCTTGATTAGACAATATTGTACAACAAACTCAACATCTCAGTGGTTACTTACTGTGCACACAAATAGGTAGTTGGCTGGGCAATTCTATGGATCTGATTTGGTCTTGGTGGGCTCATCCATGCACCTGCTGGCTGAACTCACTCAGTGTCTGAGCCTGGCTGACTCAAGCTGTCCCCACGTGAACTCCAATAGTCCAATAGGCCGGCCCCACGGTCATTTCTCTCCCTTCTTTGCTGAAACAATCACAAGAGTAGTCAGTAGGTAGGGGTTACCCATCAAGAGTGCCCATCTCTTGTTGGACACTACAGCGGAAGCAGAAATGGTGTAGAAAATCCTGACATCTTTGCCGTTGATTTCCTCAGAGTTAGATCTATTTCACAGACCAGCACTGTTACAGAGGTACAATGCTGTATGATTTCTTTGCCTACTTGGAGTTACTTTTCACCAATTGGCAAACAGATATGGTGAAAACTGAATAAAATAACATATTCACAAAGCATGGGACATCACTGGCAAGTCAGTATTAATATTAATAAATACCTCACAAACCTCCCTTTAAAGGGGTGTTCTTAATGCTAAGGAAAGTAAATAACTTTATTTAAATAAAATATGAGAAAACCAAAATGCTAAAACAAAACACATACTTGAAGAAAAGAATAAATGACATATTGGATGATTTTGATCATACTAATGAGAAAGCGAAGCCCAATGCCATTGACTCTAGTATTGATACAAAGCCTGAGTGTAGATCTAGTGAGATCAAGAAAAATAGGTTTAAAAGTCCATGGGTCAGGCCTTGGGGAATTGGCCCTATTATTTCCACATTTGATTTGAGACAATATTCTAATTTCACTAATGAAGAATTAGGTGAGGAGTAGGCCTGTCAGAGCTCTGCAAGGGGTTGTTGATGTTTAGAGTAGCTGCCTCACAGACACTAGTTGAATGAATCTACCTGAGAAACATCAGAGGCCATCAGGAGAAGTGACACATAACTAGAATTTACTTGTTGCACAACTCGCTCTGTAGAGATTAATTAAATTCATACTCTGTGACCCACAACCAAACATTTAGTGGAGAGAGAGCCCAAATTGGAGATCTCCATCAGGTCCCTCCCCTCTTGGCCTGGGAAACCCATGGAAGAGGGGAAGGAAAAATTGTAGGAGCCAGAGGGGTTGAGGACACTAGGAGATCATGGCCCACGGAATCAACTAAATAGGGCTCCGAGGGGTTCTCAGAGACTGAAACAGCAACCAGAGAGTCGATATGGGTTTGTGCTTGGTTCTCTCAAATATGCTATGGTTGTTAGCTTGCATTTTTTGTGGAACACCTAACAGTGTGTGGGGAGGTCTCGCTGACTCTTTTGCCTGCTGTTGGGACCCTTTTCCTCCTATTAGGCTGCATCGCCCAGCTCTGATATGTGGCTGTCTGGTCTTATTGCAACCTGTTAGGTCATGTTTGGCTGATATCCCTGGAAGTCCTGCTCTTTTCTGAAGGGAGACTAAGGAGGAGTGGATCTGGGTGAGAGGAGAGGTGTGTGATGGGAGAAGGGCACTGGGAGGGCTATAGGGGAAAACCGCATTCGGGATGTATTATATGAGAGAAGAATGAGAAGAAGAAATCACACCCCCTCAGCATCCGAGGAACAGTGAACAGGACAGAGGAACTGTTTCCCATCAAGTATTGTATACTATAGGTGTTCAAAGGAGGAATGTTTGTGTTTATTTTTAGCTAAAATGTATTTAGTACTAGCTTCAGTTACTGTGCCAGGTACCTCACAGTTATATTTGTCCTTCAACTTCCACAACAGCCGTACGGGGAAGATGAATAAATTAGTGAAGAAACTAAAAGTTAAAGTTGACATGCAACTTTTCCAAGGTCACCCAGCAGACAAACAGTGGACTGGGCCTTGAACTAATATCTGTCTGATATCTATGCTTGCTTTCTTAATTATTATGCTAGACTTGGGGTAGTAGAGGCTTTGTGGAAACTTAGAAGGCTTATTTTTAATATCAGCTTATTATTATTTTACTATTTATTTTGAAAATTTGAAACAAAAAGTTGAAAGCATTACACTGTGAGTGTCTATAGGTTGGTACTTGGATTCTAAATTGCTGTCTTACTGAATGTGATTTATTTTCTAACTGCCTGTCCATTCCCTTCTCTAACAATTAATCATCTTTTTTTTTTCCTTCTGATGGTTTTCAAAGGAAGTTGCAGGCGCCAACAGAAGTTGAAGAATCCTGTCAGATATCTACAAGCAAGAGGGTTGAAGGAGGAAGGGCCAGTCCCTAGACATTCGCAAGAATGTGGTGATCTTATAGGACAAGAAAGGTTATGACAGGACTAAGGACAAAGCTCAGTGATACACCACGGAAGGCTCTGTGTTCAGTCAAAGAAAGAAGAGAGAGGGAGAGGGAGGGAGGAAGCTTTGATAAAATGGTGACGTCAGGAGCATGGTCTTGAAGGGTGAGTGGAACACACTTTGCTAACTGGCAAATGAGGGTCATCTGGATACAGAAAATTGGGTCCATGAGATGGCCTGTGAGATGGATTATATACCTGTAATCCTAGCACTCAAGAGGCTGGGGCAGGAGTATTATGAGAGTAAGGCTATCTATATCATGAGATCCTATCTCAAAAGGGAAAGAGAGAGAGCAACAGAGACAGAAAGAGAGACAGAGAGAAACAGAGGCACACAGAGAGAGACAGAGAGAGGGAGAGGACAAAATAAGAGGAGCAACAGGGGAAAAGTTTCTGGTAGAAGGGATGCTGGAAACAAGCAGTGTTGAGAAGGCTGGTCGTATAAGTTGAGCAGTGAGAGAAGAACAGCTGAAGTAAAGGGGAGGAAGCCATTCTAGTGACCCCCGAGGAGCTGGGACACGAGACAGGGAAATAAAACTGCTAAAATAGGCCCTCATTTCTTTTTCAGTGAGAAAATGCTCCAACAAAAGTAACTTAAAAAAGACATGGTTTGTTTTAGCTCACAATTCCTGGAGGGACACAGTCCATCACGCCTGGGAAGGCATGGCAGCAGGCACAAAGGGAATGGCAGCAGGAGCAGGAAACTAGTGGTAGTGTTGGGTCAACACTCTGGCAGCTGAGGGTGAACAGGAAATGGGGGTGGCCTATAAAACTTGAAGGCCCATCCCCAGTGATCCAAACTTTCTCAAAAAGCACCACCGGGTGGGACCAGGTCTTCCAGTGGGCCTTACTGAAGGACATTTCACATTCAATTCACAACCAAGAGGATATAAGGCATTTCTTTTAGTGTTGTTTGAATTCCAACAGTATATTTATAATGTCAAATTCGGGACAACATACTTTACTTTCCCCTTAGAGATGTCCATGAGATATCCAGCTATAATTTTTAGAGAACACCTTTCTTTGATGGGTCTTCACAGATGAGTAGGCATTCACATTTGGCAGATGGTGGCTCTGGGTCAGAACTGCATCTGCCACGATTCGTCTATTCATCACCTCAAGCAACGTGAGTACCCTGACAGTAAGATTCTGTGGCTCCTCCCGGCCTTCCTCTGACCTTGTGGGGGTGTCTGGCAGTACCAAAGACAGTTTTGGTCGTTATGAATAGGAGGCTTTCTATTGGAATCTAATGGTTAAAGACCAGGCATGCTATTGAACATTCTATGAGGCACAGAGCATCTTAATCATATAGATTATTAAGTCTAAACATCCACAGTGCCAGTAGTTAGAGTCTCACTGAGTTAATGCAGAAGAGGGAAAGGTTTTTCCTTTTCTTTTTTTGTGTTATTGATTATCTCATTTCATAGATGAGAAATCTGAAGGATGTGGGTTAAGATATTTCTTGCCACAACATGACAGAAACAGATTTATCCCAAAGTTAACTTTTTTTTCCATTATACTGTGACTCCACGAAGAATATAAATCGATGAAGTAGTTCCATAGTTTCTAATTCTGGTAAAGAATTTTAGTGTCAGAGACCAATACAGACAGAAGTGATGGCCAGGTACAACCTGAAAGCTGTTAGTAAGCTAAGGGACAATTGCAGTCATCGGGACTTTAAAACTGGACGTGTTAGAGTGGGGAGACTGCGAGGGAAAATATCTAGTAAGTGTCAGGTGACAAGAGCTGGAGTTCAGAGGGAGGTCAGGACTGGAAATGCCATGCTGTTGACAGCAAGAAGGGGCCTGGGATGTGGTAAGAAAGAAGCTCAGGGAAGCAGAAACTGAGTTCTAGGAAAACGCTCGCGAGAATAGAAGTGAAGACTCAAAAAGGAATTAACGAATACAATAAAGAGAATGGGATCTATCTGGAAAATGTCTAAGAGTTATCATGGTATTATTTTTAAGGCCAGATGAATAGGAATTTGAGAATAAAATATTTAAAAATGTGTTTCTTAGAGTCCAGAGATGAATTTCACTTTTTCCCTTACCAATTTCAGTTCCATGTAATTGATGGCACATATTTTTTTTTCATTATAGGCGTGGTGTTTATAGTTATCCTTAACACATTTATTAGCCTTGAAATAACACTTCAGATTCTATTTGTGCAAAAGCCTGAATGTTATATGCCTGTGTTGTGCCTTTTGGTAGATTTCACTCTGATGTGGACACTGCACATCTTCCTGGTCCGGGGCCCATGTTCTCATTTGACTCTGCTGAATCCACACATCTTGTTTGATTAAGTAACAGGAACAAACACTCTTTCCCTAATGGATATACTGTAGGTGTCCTGTTTCTCAGAGTCTCCTCTGAAGATTAATTCTATGAAGCCAAGTGTTCTCAACCTTCCTAATGTTGCCACTCTTTAATTCAGGTCCTCATGTTGTGGTGACCAGAAACCGTAAAATTATTTTTGTTACTTCATAACTGTAATTTTGCTACTGTTATGAATCATAATGTAAATATCTGTGTATTCCCATGGTCTCAGGCAAACCCTGTGAAAGGGTTGCTTGAGCCCAGGGCGGGCCGGGACCCATAGGTTGAGAGCTCCTGCACATAGCTTAATGCAGTTTAATTTTAGTTAACAAACACACATGTTACTTATTGGCTATCAGTGGCAGCAATTGCAACATCAATTACTTTTAGCTAATATGCTGTGCCTCCAGGCTGGAGAGTACCAGCAGTGCTCAGTGCCGGAGAAGAAGAGGAAGGGCAGTTGAATGGTCAGGTCTGCTGATCATATCAGTGGAAGACTGCTTAATTAGTACCTATGTGACTATAGCACCATGCCACCTGTTAGCTGAAAGCATTATTCAATGATGCCATAGTAAAGAAGAATGTTCCCAGGAACACTGACAGGTTAAGGGACCACTGCAACAGGATATCTTAAGGGGAGAAACAGAGTGTATAACTCTATGGGCAAGTCAGATTTTATAGGCAAGGGAACAGGGTGAAAGTCAGATAACTGAAAACCACCCAGAGGAAAAATCAGGGATAAAGAAGATTATAGCTAAAACCAACCTATTTGACTCCTGCTGGAGATTGGCCATAGTGATCAGCTATCACCTGGAGTGCTGGTGGAGGAGGAGAGACTGGTCAGATTTGGAGGGGGATCAGATGTGAGGGAGCAGGGATTCTTGCTGTACTGATGAGGAGATTCAGAATTAGCTCAGCAAAGAATCTTTGTTAATCACAAGTTCAATATGGGTAAAGACCTCCTCATCTAAACCTAGCCTGTAAGCTTCCCTGGCTAAGGAGCCTGCTGTGATGAAGGGTGTGTTCTGTTGCTGACCATCACGGGAAGCACTAGCTACAGGCTGGTAGGGAGCCTTTGAAATACAGCCCACAAAACAGACTAGCGCTAAAAAACAAATAGCACGCACAAAACCCCAATCCAATTAGTTCCTTGTTTAAAGCCTAAGTGTAAACAGACCAGGGTTCGCAGTGCTGTTGAAACATTGCAGAGGCAGAACATTTCCACCGCGGCAGAAAGCTCTGCCCCACAGCGCCGCCGCTTAGAAGATGCCTTACCTTCCTTCCCTGCTTGGATTCCAGGCTCTCACCTTTGCTTTTCTTCCAAGGAGTATGAGCCAGTGGGCTTTTCTCCCCACCTCCAGCAGCTCTGACTTTTCAGCTTAGGAGAAAGGAGGTTTCTTTCCTCTGTCCACCTTCCTTCCATGTGGCCCGCACCTGTCTGAAGGCAGAGCCTCTTAGGAAGTGGCTTTCTACAGGGACTCTGCATATTCCTGTTATACTTACGGGCAACCCACAATTACTGAACACTTTATGCTCTGTTTTATTCTCGTGGAGCATTGAGATGTCGTAATGGAGCACTGTGATGTCACATGCAGCTCTGTGATAATACAAGACATCTGTGTGCTAGTACAACAGGGCACTATGAGGTCACAGGGTAGCACTGATGTCACGGTGGAACACTAATGGGCTGTGGTGTTACAAGATGGTATTGTGTTAGCTCAGTGAAGAATTGTCATGTGACTGTGAAGCCTTGTGAGCTCATAGTAGAGTACTGTGATGTCACAGTGGAGCATGTTACACTGGACACTATTGTGTGTCACAGTATGACATGACAGTGCTCTCATAACAGAGTATTGTGATGTCTAATAGAGCACTGTGCTGTTCTAATGGGACATTAAAATGTCATATTGTAACACAGTGTCATAACGTAACACTGTGCTGTCACAGTGGAGCATTGTAACCTCGTAAAGAAGTACTGTGATGTCACAATGGTGCACTCTCTAGTCACAGTGGACACTATCATGTGTCACAGTGTGATATCACAGTCACTGTGATCTCATAAGAGAGCATTGTGACGTCACAATGAAGCATTTTGCACAGCACTGTGATAATGGAGCATTGTCATGCTACAGTGGGGCTGTAATCTCACTGTAATCTCATACAGTGATCTTATAATGGAGTACTGTGAAGTCACAGTAGAGCACTGTGATGGCTAAATGGGGCGTTGTGATAGCAAAGTGCCCCACAGCGATGCCACAATACAGCATTGTTACGTAAGAATGGAACATTATGATGGCACAGTGGAGTACTGTGATGTCAAAGACAGCCCTGTGATGACAGCCTTTGCACTACCTGCTTCTGCCAACATTTTCACTCCAGATAGCCACGATTAGCTGACTGTATTCTTCAAATTTAGGGTCAGACATCGCCTCTTATGAAAGACCTCCCTTGTGTTCATCATCTAAGTGATCCCCCCTGCCAGTCTTCCATCGTCAAGTCCTGCTTTATTCATCACAGAGGGCTCATCGCCCTCTATATGATGTTAGGTATTCTTCATGAGCCCTTGCATTCTAGACTAGAAAAAGCTTAATGAGAGCAAGGGTGCTGTCCTTCAGTCCATGCCTTAGTCTTCATGCCCAATGCAAGGCTTGGCTCTAAGTAGGAATGCTCTAAATTTTTCCGCTAAATGATTTCATGTGCGAACAACCTCTTAAACAGATTGTGTCACTAAGGCTCCACGTTATCGACTTATTCGAATTTATTTCTTTATTTGAGCTAAGGTTTTGTGTGGCCCAGGCTAGCATCGACCAGTAGGCTGTAGATAACCTTTGACTTCTGACCCTCCTCACACATGCGTACGCCACCACTGCACCTGACCTACCTGGTACTTGGATTGAGCCTAGGGCTTTGTGTATGGTAATCTCCCAAAGGTTAACGCTCCTTCTGGCAGGGAGCAGTCAGAGAGGCAAATAAAAATCTGAATACCATCAAGGATAAAAGAAAAAAAACAACAAACAAACAGAGACATAGCTCTTGAACCAATAAATAAAATAGCTCTGGGCTTTGGTAGAGGTCCTGTGAGTGGTGACTTGGAAGGAAGTCTGAAGATTTGTTTTGTTCTCTAAAACTTCTAAAAAGAACCGGTTGTCCTATACTATTTAAGCAGAAGACAAGACTGATTTGCCCCTGAAAACAGTGTTTAACTGGCAGAATTATTTTTCTCAAAGAATGGGTACCCAAGCCTTTGACTGAGTGACCTTTTCATAGCTAAGGGTTCAGGGTTTATGGATGCCCCTGCATTTATGAGCTCATTTTCAATGCTAATGAATTCTCCTCCTTGAGTGTATTTTAAACACACATTTACTAATCCCTTAGATCTAAACTTTGAGTTTCAGGCTAATGAAAATAGTCCTTAAATGCAGTTCTATAGTTAATGTGTAGGAAGGTCAACAAAAAAGGAAACACAGAATGAAACAGGAAAGATGAGAAGGGCCAGGACTAGACTGAGTTTTGTTTGTGCAATGCTAGGGATGGAACTCAGACCTTCAGATGTATCCAGCCACACCTTCACCCTGCTTGTTTTTAAAATGCCACAGCATTTCCCAGCACCAGGGCACTGAGGTAGGAGGATTGAAAGTCCAGCCTGGGCCACACGGTAACACCTGTTTTTAAAACACAGAACCTTCATGGCCAAATGCCTGTTACTGACCAATGACTTCCTGGTCACCTCATTTTTTTTCCCCCAAAGGCTTAATTCCTTTTCAAACTTTGACATTCATCAGAACTGCCAGATTTAGGGGTTTGCTTTTTTTTTTTTTTTTTTTTTTTACAATTTATTTACTTTATATCCTGATTGTAGACCCTTCCCTCATCTCCTCTCAGCCCCACCCTTCCTCACTCTAGACCCTGTTCCCCTCCTCTAGTCCACTGAAAGGGGGAGTCCTCTTCTACTATCTGACCCTAGCCTATTGAGTCTCTTCATCTCAAAACCTAGCTATCCCATTCCTGGACCTATACCTGAAAGATGCTCCACCATACAACAAGGACATTTGCTCAGCTATGTTCATAGCAGCTTTATTTGTAATATCCAGATTCTGGAAAAAAAAAAAAAACTAAATGTCCCTCAACTGAAGAGTGGATACTGAAATTGGGCTACATTTACACAATGGAATACTACTCAGCTATTAAAAACAAGGAAATCATGAAACTTGCAGGCAAATGGCTTGAACTAGAAAAGATCATCCTGAGTGAGGTAACCCAGAAGCAGAAAGACACTCATGGTATGTTCTCCCTTATAAGAGGATACTAGCCATATAGTATAGGATAAATGTACTAAAATCTACAGACTTAGAGAAGCTAAACAATAAGGAGGACCCCAGGGAGGATGCTTAATTTTCATTCAGAAGGCAAACAGGATAGACACTGGAAGCTACAGAAGAGAATGAACAGGACAGGAGCCTACCATAAATGTCCTCTGAATGATTCTACCCAGCAGAGATTGAAGCAGATACAAAGACTCACACCCAAACTTTGGATAGAGCACAGGGAGCCTTAAGGAAGACGATGGAGATAGAGGACTGGGAGGGGACGAAGCTCCACAAGGAGACCAACAAAGCCAAAAAAATCTGGGCTCAGGGGTCCTGCTGAGTTGCAGGCCAACAACCATGCATGAAGAGGACCTAGCAGGGGTGCTCAGATGTAGCCCATAGGCAGCTCAGTCTCAACGTGGGTTCCCTGGCGAGGGGAGCAGGGGCTGTCTCTGACATGAACTCTGCTTTCTCATATCTTCCCCCTGGCCGGTGATCTTACAGCTCACAGAGGAAGAATATCCAGAAGAATTTTCTAACCAGCTCCTAACTTCTGTCAGTCCAAGGACCACACTGAGTAGCAGAAGTATAGGTGTGATCTTGTCAGTTAGGAGACCTCGCTTTGGCCTAAGAGAACGCCTAACTGCCTCCCCTGACTGTTAATGTACCTGGTGCCTACACCTCATTTTTTTCCTCTAGACAAGAATGAAGCAAACTTTTTTCTTTTTAAATTTATTTTACAGATGAAGCTGAGGTTCAGAGTTAAGTTGATGGCCCAAAGTCATGCGCTTTGGGGGTGAGTTTAACTCAGGTCCTTAGGACTAAACCTGGCAGGTCAGGCCCCTGCCAGATGCACGTACCTTCTGTTCTTTGATCGCTCAGGGAAATATTGCTTTTGAGGACATCCAGCTTCCTCCTTCAGTGTAGATCCCAGGCTGCTCCAGGGAGAGCCCTGCAGTCCCTAGCAAGGAAGCTCGCGACTTGGCCGGAGCATTACATAACCGGGAGGCACCCCTCCTCCCCGCGCCCCTCACCCGTGGTCCGATCCCGGGACAAGGCCTTTTCGCCAGTATGCTCAGTCACCCTCGGGGCTGGCATAGCTGAGTGCTTTGCTTCTCGAGGGCGGGGCGGTGGGATCTCCCCAGCGACACTGTCCGGCGGCTCTGCCTGCGGCCCCGGCCCCTGAGGCGCCTCCGCCCAGTGCGCTCCCCGCCCCTCGAGCGCGACCAGACTCCCGGGGACGGGAAAGGGGCCGCCGCGCAGGGGGCATGTGGGCTCGCCGTCGCCAGCGCTGCAGCTGTCCCCGCGAGGTGAGGACACGCGGGCTCCGGGATGCGGGCGGGCAGGGACCGGGCGGAGGGCTGTGGAGCGCGCGCCTGCTCCTGGCGCTGTCCCCATTCGGAAAGCTCTGCTCCTGCTCTCTCGCCTGCCTGCTTTGCGACTCGGTAGTGCAGGTGGCATCCAGGTAGGACGGCAGGGCTGGACCTAGAGCTCAGGAAGGACCCAGGCGCTCATTTTACACCCGTCCCAGCGCTCTGCTGTGTCTAGACCCTAAGTCTGGCCACCTGTTGGGTTTAGAAAAGAAGCACATGCCCACTTGTCCTCTGTCCCGCAGTGTCTGGCTGAGTTTCTGGGCAGGTGGCTGGAGAGAGTGGCTTTGATCTGTGTCCTGCGGTTTCCAGATGCACATTTCCCAAGAAAGACAGGCCGCCTTTCCCCCATTGGATTGTCGGTGCTCTTGCTTTTTAACCCTCTCCTACCCTCCAAACGTTTATTACCCTTCTGCGGTCTCTTCAGAACACACCAGCCTTCTACGTTTGAAATGAATTAAACTTAATTTCTCCAGTCGCTCCTTACCCCAAAGTTGCCCTGTGTGTCTACTGCGAACTGGTGATTCAGCGTTCGGAACCGCTCGCTTGCGTTTTGTCTGGCCTCTGGTTAGTTCTTCCCAGCTTTGCTGAGAGCTATGTGGGTATTGCAGCGGCTCCGCAGAGCTAGCCCAGAAGGGAAAATAAAATCTTCAGGGTTGCCAAGTTTAGGAAGACCTTATGGCTACAGGTATCTGAGCTCACTAGCGTTTGAAATCTGCAGCTGTTGGCTGTGTAATTTGTCTTTTCTACAAAGTCACAAGAAACTAGGGCTTATGGTATCCTAGCCACCCATGGTGCCTGGCCTCTGACTGTGGAAATCATGAACTCCGGATCAGTTACTGAGCGACTGGACTTAATCACTTATTACTTCCAGGACCTTAGAACTGAAAGGAGTTTTAGAGAATCTATTAGATTCAAACCCTTGGGAAGCTCAGCTCCAGCTCTGCAAGGATTGGCAAAACTCATACCTTTAAGTGCAGATGGGACCAATATTGACATTCAGGCTTTCTCACTGTCTTCCCCGTCAGTCTTCAGGGCATTTCGCCTCTAGGTATTTTAACAACAGCCCCCTGCCGCATACGACTAGAATGGCCCGAGCATATATTTTCCCCATTCCTGCCTTTTACTCATCTGTTGTACACCTGGGAAGGTTCTAAAATAGATGAGAGGTTGATTTGGTCAAATGGCCTTTGTTGCGAAATTGTTAAAAGTAGGAACCCTTTAAGCCTGGTATGATGGTACATGGCTGTAATTCCAGAACCCCAGAGATGGAGGCAGAGGAGTTCAAGGTCAGCCTGAGTGACATAGTGATTATCCGGCTTACAAAGGCTACACTTGAAGACCATATCTCACACACACACACACAAAAAAAAAAAAAAAAAAAAAAAAAAAGTAAGGAAAGGAAAAAGGGGGTAGGAAGCAGGAAGGAAGGAAGCAAGGAAAAATCCTCAATTTTAAGTAACATTTTAAAGTCTCTCTGTATCAAGATGAATATGCTGATATTTCCCAGATGAATTCCGAGAAGAAGGAAAGGAACCGAGATGAGTAGGAGAAAGCTTCCTACACTGGCTCTTGGAGTCCTTCTGATTCTGTGCTCCCTCTGGTGATAAGTGGCTAGTGATGAAAACATGATTTGGGTGGTTTGCAACGCTGCTGAGCTGTCGCAAGAAATGTGGCCCGGAGGTTTGTCATGAGTGACACAATGATCTGGAACAGAAGTCGTGGCTTAAGTTTTAAAATTGGGGATTGACTTAACGAATACTGTTGCAGCATATCGCATATTTTATATTTTCTCCTGATTTTCAGTTTAGTTGGATGTAACAGGTATTTATGGGGTGCCAATGGTATGGTTGGTGCTGTTCTGAGCGTTTGGTGGGCATCAGTGAACCAAACAAAGGACCTTGGCTCAGAAATTCATTTATCAAAATCGTCTCTAGGATTTTGTTAGCCAGGTAGAAAGGAATTTCAAGTTCATGTTCAGAAGGGAAACAAAAGCAAATATTTTGTGTTCAGATCCAATCATCTTGCTGATCTTATAATCAGGGCAAACAAACAACTGTCAGAGTTGCTTTGCCATTTATGAACTGACTTTGGACACACAGTCTTGCGACTTATTGGTAAAGCTATCACCGTGGTAGTTTTTGGCTTTGAATTACACATTCCGGTTTTAAGAATTCTCTAATTCTCTCAGTTGCATTTTCTTCAAACAGCACATTTTGCAAGTTCAGGCATGTTTGTTGTTTTTAATAGTGAGTTATCTAAATGATCTAAATGAACATGGCAGGTTTTTATTATTATTATTAAAAAAAAAGTTTCCAAACTGGAAGCTACTTTCTTGTGAGTGAGTACCTTTCATGCCTATCTAAAAACTCACCCACTGCTGTGGTAAAATTTAAGAGAGAAAAACCAAATCACAGTTGAAGGTGTTGAAGGATTTGAACACAACAAAAATTTCTGTTCCGTGTGTATGTATGTGTGTGTGTGTGTGTGGTAGCTATATGTTTGTACCGGTGAGCTTGCCCATGCAGCTATGAGTGGAGTTCAGAGACTGACATTGGGATATCTTCCTCTCTCTCTTCTTTACCTGATGATTGATTGGTTGACTGACTCAAGGCAGGTTTTCTCACAGGACTCAGAGCTTGCCCTTTGGGTTAGACTGGCTGGCATTCGCCTGTCTCCAATGTCCAATGCCGAGTTTACAGACAAATGCTGCCACGTTTTGCTTTTTCCCTGGTGTTGGTGTCTCTGCTCAAGAGCCTTGTGCTTTAGTAAAAACTTTATGAACTTAGCCCTTTCCCCAGCTTCCTTGTTTCTATTTTTTATTTCCCCCATATCAAAGGATATCAGGAAACCTCATAGAATGATCCACTATTTAAAAGTGGTCTTTATGAAATATTTAGGTAAGGTCAGAATTTCTGATCTTTGCTAGATTGTTTGTTCCTGTTTTGTTGTTGTTGTTGTTTTTAGACAAGGTCTCACTATGTAGCCCTGGCTAGCCTGGAGCTTACTTTGTAGACCAGGATAGGCTCAAACCCACAGAGATCTGCCTACTGCCCCTCAAGTACAGGATTAAAGGTGTTTGCCACCATACCTGGATTCTTTCTTTGTTCACTTACATTTGCTCCATCATAGATGGTCCAGGGGAGTGAGTGTTGTAGTTAGAATGTTGTGTTTCACTAATTATTCCATAAGCACATTCATTTGTTGACTTAAGAGGTATTGATTGGACTACCTAGCAATAATTTTTGTAAAGATTGTATTTTGCTCATGGCAGGAGGGGCTGTAAAGACAAAATATGCAGTTGCAGGCTGAAGCTGCCTACAGCTTGGCCTCACAGAAAAAAACAGTGAAGGATAATCAGTGCTACCATGAGAGATAGAATGTAAAAAGAGGAGAGCTTGTGCTTGGGAAAGTAATGGGAGGAGAGCCTGCACTTGGGGGTGTAAAGGGAAGAGATCCTTGTGTTTGGGAATGTAATGGGAGGAGAACCAGTGTGTAGGATGTGAGGAGTTAAAGGTCCGTAACAACTTAAACAGATATAGGTAGACAAATCTGCGTGGCTCCTTGAAAGGTGACTAGCATGGTAAAGCTTTGTTTCCTTTTTTTTTTAATAATACTGGGGACTGAACCCCAAGCCTTTCATGCTGTGAAAGCACTCTATGACTGAAGTACCCCTTAGTCCTACCTGTTTCTTCTACTTAAAAAAGTTAATTTTGAGATTATCAACATTATATTTTGATATATATTTGATTATATTTACTCCGCTCTCAACTTCTCCCAGATCCACCCTCCATTTTATACCCACCCAACTTGTGTACACACACACACACACACACACACACACACACACACACACACGTGCATGTGTGCGTGCACGCGCTTATCCTATGGAGTCTAATTTGTGCTGCCTATATAGTCTTAAATATTCAACCATCCACTGGAGTGATGGTAGTCAGCCTACCTGGGGTCACAGCATTAAAGAAAACCAATTCTCATTCTTCAGACTGCTATAAATTACCAATAGATTCCCCAAGGGAATTCATGCCCTCATCTCCCTTAATGTTGGAATTTTGTTAGTTTGATCTTATGAAGCATTCAGCCCCAAATGGGACACAATACTATATCCTTTCTCCAGAGGCCTAGGGAATGTTTTAGAAGAGGCAAAGGCATGAGCAGAAAGACTGTAGGAGCCAAAGGAGGTGGATGACCACAGGGAATCAGTGTTTTCTCAACAGAGCAGAGAATTGCACATACGAACTCATGGCATTGTAACAACATGCATAAGACCACTTGCTGTTTGTTTGTTTGTTTGTTTGTTGTTTTTGTTTTGTTTTGAGACAAGGTCTTCCTATGTAGCTGGGCTGGCCTAGAATTGGCTATGCAGACAAGGCTGACTCACAGAAATCCACCTGAAATGCTAAAATAACAGTTGTTTGCCACCACCCCTGCCCAGCTGCTCCATTCTGAAGACAAAGCCTTTCTTTTAGAGACTGATTGGTAGTGTTGGGTTCTGTGACAAGCACGTCACTTCTGTACCCTGCTGTGTATATCCCTCCCTGTCCCAGGTAATGCAGTATTGACTCACATTGGGCTAACGGTGTTTTCCTTTCCTTTAGCAACACAAACTGGTTGTTGCTTGAAGCATAGAGATTACTACAGAGTCCATTGTTGTAAGCTGGTTCGTCATGCTTCTTCCAGGTTAGGTACATTGTAGCAGTAATGTTCAGTCTTAGTCTTGTGTATGCCAGCTGCATTTGCTACTCTAATTTTGCTATTTAATGAAGAACTTCCTGAACTAATTTAATGTCAGTGTTAAATGAAGAACACTATTTTCCATGAAATAAGTTGATTGCTACATGGGGCCATGTATTACCCACCTTCAAGTTATCATAATGGACAAAGTGGGAAAATTAACTTGTACAGAGAGAGGTTTACCTGGATTACAAGTTCTGGAGATTATAGTCCAAGATGGAGCAGGCCCATTGATGTGTGTCTTAGTATGGGTGTGCATGGTAGTTGATTGGGAGTACATGGCCAAAAAATCTGTTCACTTTATCTTCCAATACTCCTCAAAGCACATCTGCAGTAGCCTAAAGATAACCTGTAAGACCCCACTTCTCAATGGCTCTCCTACCTTCCATTAGTATTACTTTAGAGATCAGACCTTTAACTCATAGACTTCATGGGGATGTTCAACAATCAGATTATAACAGCCCACAAAAGTCAGGCAAACTAAAAAAGTACCAACGCGTGATCCTTGAAAAAGAAGCAAGCAAAAGAAGCAAGATACAAGAGGTCACACGGTGTACGACTCCAGAAGTTCAGAGAAACAAATTCACGAAGAAAAAATTTCATCAGTAGTAGCCAGGTGATGGTGGTGGGGGAACTGGGAGAGTCTGGTAATGGTGCAGGGTTTCTTGGGATGATGCCTTGGGTCTGAATTTAGATGCTGAAGTTGCTTGCAGAGACTATGACTACACTAAAGCCAATGAATTGAATACATTAAAATGGCTAAGTTGGAATCAGGTATGCAGCTTAGTGTTAGAACATTTGCTTGGCATGTCAGGATCAGCACTTGATCCTTGGTGACACAAGAAAAAGAAAACCGAAGACCATCAAGTTGGAGTTTCTGCTATGTTGATTCTATCCCAATTTAAAAAGGCAAAGAGCTGGGGAGATAATTTGGTCTGATGAAGCACTTGGTTTGCAGATGTGTTAAAACACAAATTCCCATAACTGATGTAAAAAATTCTGTGTGTGGTAGTATGCATCTATAGTCCAAGTGCTACTGAGAAATAAACCAGGTAGACCAGTGGGCCTCATTGACCAGCCAATCTCCATATTTGGTGAGTTCTAGACTATGGAGAGACCTGTCTAAAACAATAATGTCAATGGTACCAGAGAAATGGCACCCTAAGTGGTCTTCTGGCCTCCATACCCCCACATATGTGCACCCACACATACATGAACACATGTACAATAAAAGACCATGAAGTTTGAAAATGGCAACATGAAAAACTACAGCTTAGAGACAGAGTGGTCAGCTTTAAAATATTAAGGAAGTACAGTAAAAAAAATATGTAGAGTTTTGCACTTAGCTATTTTTTTTTAAAGTTTCTCTAAGGTTTCACTTTGCTTTTTGAAGAAACAGAACCAAGAAATGTAAGCTCAGTTTAACCAGGAAATGCAACACAGAACACCAATCATGAATCCATATACAAAGGCTAGTGAATTAATTTACATTTACTCATTTAAAAGCTGAATAAGATGCTGAAAATATATTGCATCAGCTTTTCTATTGAGTTTCAGTTCTGGTTGCTTTCAGTTGAGAGTTTCTGAAGTGTCAGATTCTGAGCTTAATTCAGTTTATTTCAAGAATAGCTCATGTTTTGGCATATGCATGAGCCTCCCTGTTTATCAGCCTCTCATGGATACAGAATTCTGCATCCCAGATTATGTGGGATACCTGAACACAGTCTTCAGACTTCTAAATCACTGTAAAAGTCAGAAGTGTGTTTCTCTGTAAGCCCTGGGTGGGGACCCCTGATTTGAGTGTGTAGACAGAACAGCAACATGATACATTAACTATAACAACCCTTAAAACTTACCACACCAAACCTTCATACAGTGTGATTCTTCGATATATTCTTGAGAGCACTTCATCATTTCATGGATTATCTGACACATTATAAGCCAAAAGTGCAACTACTTATTTCGGGAACAACTAGTATTGTTTTAGCAACTCTGCTTCATTTGATGAAATACTTTCCATGGAAATGAGATCATATTTATCTATTGAATCCAGCTGTATTTCTCGAAATAGCAATTTCAGCTCTCTAAATCTGGAATTTCAAAACAGTCACATCGTGGAACATGGAGGAACTCACCAAGATGCACAAACTTGCTCTCACAACAATCCAAACTGCTTTACGAAAGAGAAGTTCAGATAGAAAGCTATTGAGTCCAGTCTCAACTGTCCGTATTCAGTTCTTACAACTGGGAAATTCACATTCACAGACGGGACTAGCTGGAATCAGAGTGCTTTGTTCTGGTTGATTCTTGAGAACTTTGTATCTGTGTGTTGATTCACGTCTCCAAGTCAGTGGTTTTCAGTGCTGCCTATATATCAAAATCACCAGAAAGAACAAAAATATCAATGTTGTCACCCCAAAGTCTTCCTACTAAGTAGTTCTGGGGTATGGTAATGGCATTAGGAGTTCATGAAACTCCTGTGTAGCCAGGGCTACACAGTATCATTGATCCTCAGTGTTATCTTTGGTTTTATAATATATATTATATTATTAATATTACATATATTATACTTCTTCAGAAAAATATTGAAGCAAATAGTTGCTATGATATTTTCAAATTATGTCTTTTGGGGGTATTTATAAAACATGTCTAATAAAAAGTTAAGTAAGATTTTTTTTTTCTTTCCTTAAAAAAAAAAATCCTTTTTATTATGTGGGAAACCTTACTCAATGGTGGACAGATTTTCCTCCTTGTGGAATTCACTAACCTAATTTTTATATAATATATGAACAACAAATTAACTATCCCAGTCTGCTTTTCTATTGTTATAAACTGACTGAAGCTGGATACTTTGTAAAGCAAAAAGGGTCTAGTCATCTGACAATTTTGGAGCCTGAAAGTGCAAGTTCAGTAAGCATTATCTGCTCAGGACTCTGGCAGGGTCTGCCTGGCTGTCTCACATCATGGTGCATGGTGTCATGGTGGGAGTGCATGTGAGAGGGAGAGGTCACAGATGGGGACAGGCAGGAAGCCCGAGAATGATTTGGGGTAAGGCTAGGCCACTCTTTCAGGAACTAACTCACTTTACAAGACCAGTGGCTGTCCTTTCCAAGGACCCCCAGTGATCCTCCTTCCCTCAGGTCCTTCTTTCAGTGATTCTGTCCTCTCTTACTCTGTCACACTGAGGCCCCATGGACTTGGCAGGGGCAAGCCCTATTCATGGATGCCACCAAACTGTAGAATCATAACTTACCAACCAATTAATTGGCCAGGCTTCTTTTACATGGTTTTGGTAACTGTTTTTCCCATGGGCATAATTTTGAGACTAATCATTTGACCTTTGTAACAATTGTTTCCTCTAAAATGTCTTCAAGATATTTCTTCCTCCTTCCCTCCCTTCCTCCCCCACCACTTTTACAGGGTTTTGGTATAAAACCAAGATTGGCTGTGAGCTAAGGCTGCCTGCAAAGCCACTTGGTAGTCCAGGCTAGCCTCTAACTTGTGACTCCTGCTTCAATTTCCTTAGTGCTAAGATAACAAGTGCATGTCATCATACCTCGCTTTTGCTATATGTTTCTTTAAATTAACTGAGTTGCAAACCCTATTGGTCAAATCTCTCTCTGCATATCTTCTTTTTTATTTGGTTGTATCAAAATAGGTTTTCAAAATATAGGACTTTTATATAAGAAAGATATACTGGGCTCTTACAATAGAAAGATAGAAGTTTGAATATTGTCCTATGTGACTAACAAAGGTTCATGAATTTTAGGTTGTCCTTGCCTTTAGGCATTATGTCTTTGAGAAAATGCGGTGAGGTGATTAACACAGAGCCTGGAAAGCAAGCAACCAACCAACAAAACTTGCTAATCAAACTACTTAGAAGTAACCTTGGGACTGGGGAGGTGGCTCAGTGCCACAGTGCTTGCATAGCATGTGTGAGGCCCAGGGTTTGATTCTCAATACCAACAAAACAAAACAAAACAAAACAAAACAAAACAACAGAACAACCGAAAAGAAACTTTTTTTTTTAATCAAAAGAGAATGTACGTCTTGGGACTGGTGAGACGGCTCAGCAGGTTAAGGCACTTGCTGCTAGGTCTTATGATCTGAGCTTGATCCTTGGACCCACTTGGTAAAAGCAGAGAACTGACTTCAAAGCGTTGTCCTCTGACCTCCCCATGTACACCATGGTACATGTATGCCCACACACATAAATAGTAAATAAATAAAATGTAAAAAAGCAATACATTTATGGATCTTGACTGGTGGTTTTTGAACTGTCTTTTGCAGATTTCTAGGATTTTGAAGGATCCCTGGGCCCTGGGTGGGCAGGAGATGGAGGCTGGCTTCAAGCCTTAGGCTTTCTTCTGGGGTCCCCTTGACAGCCTGAGAAGGGGTGCTATTCCCATTTTCACAGACTGAGCTTCCAGGTAAAATGTTTCTCAAACAAGCAGTCTCTCAGCTAAAGCAAGGTTTTAGCAACTGAGACATGTTTCTAAGTTAATGCGCGCACGTGTGTGTGTGTGTGTCTGTCTGTCTGTCTGTCTGTGTCTGTGTTTGTATACAGTTTAGTTTGGATTCTGACAGCCTCTGCTTCTTCTCGGTATGACTATTGTGTATCTGTGTTAAAAAGTGTTGGGGAGAGTTTAATAGTAGTGATTTAATAATAAGTTGGGATCTGAGGAGAGATAGCCAGTGATCAGTTGGATATTCAGGACAATAAGCATACATTCCGAATGACAAATACAGGGGTTCTGTCCAAGATAAATATTTTACAAGAGAATGTTTATAGACAGAAATGAGACGGTTCAAGTATAAAATTCTGGGTACGAGCTAGGCCAAACTGCGTACACTTCTCCGACTTCATGTTAACGCAATACAAAAGTTTGGTCAATGAAACCCATTTTTAATTTTAATTAAAGGTTAGAGGCAAGGTCTTACTCTGTAACCCAGGATGCCTTAGAACTCTTCATGTAGCCCCAGTCAGCTTCAAACTGGCCATCCTTACATTTCAGCCTCCTCAGTACAATGATTACAGACATAAGTCACCACGCTCAACTCACCTTTTGTTCCCTTATTTCTCCCACATACATGCACATATAACTGTCCAAAGAATTGGATCATGTGTGCTAATGTGTGTATGCATGGGCAGTAGCACGGTGAGGTCAAAGACTAGAAGGCAAGGACATTTCTCTGAGAACACCAAACTGAAAATTTAGAGGACCTCTTCTTCCTTTCCTCCTCTTCCTCCTCCTTTTGTTTTTCAAGACAGGGTTTCTTTGTGTAGCCTTGGCTGTTCTGGACTTGCTTTGTAGTTTAGGCTGTCCTCAAACTCACAGAGATCCATCTGCCTCTGCCTCCCCAAGTGCTGGGTTTACAGGGAACCCTTTTTAACGTACTAATAGATTGAGTCACAGGCATGGACATTTCAGCTTTCATATAAAATGATGTTAAGTAGTAGTATGGTTTATTCACTACCCCTGTGTCTAAATTCACCTTTTATGGAATGGTATCTGCTGGGTTTTGCATGTGGTACCACAGGGTCCTCGGATAGGTCTCAATTCTCCATGTGTCTGTGATTTGTGTGTCTTTGACCAGATACATCTGTGTTTGCCACCTGCTTGAAATTTATTTGCAAGGATCACCAGCCACAGCTGCATTAACTTAAAAACTTAGGAACAATGAGCTGGGCATGACGGTGTGAGCCTTTAATCTCAGCACTCAGTAGGCAAAGGCAGGCAGATCTCTTCGAGTCTGAAGGCCATCCTGGTCTACATAGTGAGATCTTGTCTCAAAACAGAGATAAAACAAGAATTCATGCATATTTTAGAAAAAGTAAAATGACCTACATAAAGAATAAGCACTATCAACGAGGCACTTGCCCAGAGCAGCTTCCTTGGTGTTTTTAGTGTCCCAGGGATAAAGGACTGATCATTGTGCCAAAAGTAAGTCCTGTGTCTTCCTTTCTTTTCTTTTTGCTTCTTTAGGCTGGCATTTCTGTCTTCTTCATCCAGAAAATGATAACATTCAGACAACTTTATCTTCTAATGTTTTAGAGATAACGGTGTCAGTAAAATTTCAAGTAAAACTTTAATTTTCTGTGAAAATAATATGATCCATCTTGTCAAGTAGCTGAATGAGCTTACTTCCACATCAGGCAGACACTCACAGCCTGCCTAGTAAGCTCCAGCTCATGCTGACGGCCTGCAGGCTTCCCCCTTAGGACACAGCCAGGTTAAGCAACCTGCATGACTCACCAGCCTGCCGTCTCCTTGTGTGGGTGTTCAGGGACCAAGGCGCTTCAGACAGCCTTCTGGGGCCAAACCATTAAGGACATGTAGATTTCAGAGGGAAATATTCTAGACATGCGGGGAAACGTGTACAAAGGCACTGGGTTGGAAAAAATACACACTGAGTGAAGGTGCATCTAGTTCTTCAGTGATGCTGCAAGGGTCACGTGCAGGACACATAGCTAGGGTCCTGGAGGAACCAGAGAACAGACAGGAGCCTGGTTAAGATCTTGCATATCATACAATTTTTCCATTTTGCTTCCGTAGTTGTTTGTTTGTTTCTCTCCCCTTCTACCATCCTCCCCCTCCTCCTTCTTCCTCTTCTTCTTCTTCAACAGGATTTCTTTATTGTTCTGGAACTCACGCTGTAGACCAGGCCAGCCTTGAACCCACTGAGATCCACCTGCCTCTGCTTCTTGAATTCTGGGATTAAAGGTGTGCCCCATTATGCCCAGCTTCTCTGGTAGTGTCATACCAGATGTCATGGTGATAAAATTAGCCTGTTCTTCAGATAGATAACTCTGAATGAGGGTTTTAGAAAAAAAACCAATGGGGTGAAGAACTAGGAGTCTGTAAAACACAGAGTGGAAATGAGGTTAATGATTCACAGGAACAGTTCTCTTTATATTAACATTCTTTGTGCTCAGTGTTCTGCAGGACATGCAGTAGAGATGTCAGTAGGCACTTTGATATTCTGAGCAAGGAAGCCAAATTTTGAGCACCATGTACTAATACAATCAGCTGAGATCAAATGCCAAGTTGTGATTACCTGGGCAAAATACAAGAGAGAATGGAAGAGAATAACAAGGTTTGCTCCTATTGCACCCAGGGCATATCTTGGCCATTACACTGTTTTTGTTGTTGTTTGTTTGTTTGTTTGTTTTGTTTTGTTCTGTTTTGTTTTTTAAATGCTCAGCCTGGCCATATGTTGGCCCTTTCCATTGAGCCAAGTGTGAGAGCAGGGACTGTATCTTATTCATACTGTCACTGTAGCAGAACTTTGGGAGGGAAATTTTTGTAGATGTGTGTCATATAGTGAATAGTCCTTTTGAGGAAAATTTCAGTGGTTCTTGCCTAACCAGCTCTGTTAACTGTCATGGTACTTGCAATAGTTTGAATATGGCTTGTCCCTGGAATCTACGCTGAAATCACTCTTGTTATGGGATAAGGAGGGGTGGACCACATGGGATCTCTAAGAGGGGATTATAGTTCTGCCTTTATGAAGTGATTAATCTATCATGTAATTAATAGACTGATGGATGCATGGGTTGTCTCTCGAGTGGGTCTGCTATAAAATCCAGTTTGGCTAGGTCTCTTACCATATTCTGTCTTCACCATGTGATGCTCTCGATGGCCTCAGGATTGTGCCATCAAGGAAGTCATCACAAATACAGTTCCTTATCTTGGACCAGAGCTGTGAGCCAAACTGTACTTCCTTTCTTTATGACTCCCCTAGCCTGTGTGACCGTGTTATAGCAACAGAAAATAGACTTAGTTCCTTGATTTATGGTTAAGTGTTGAATTTCTCCTTGAATAAGTAATATAACATATCATGAGTGGCCAGAAGAAGATAATTTAGCACAAGAAATGAAGAAGCAGGGCTGTGTAGGGAGGAAGGATAAATAGGAGAGACTCCTGTCATGGAATTCAGGAGAGCAGCTTTAATAAGGAGAGAGATGGATGTAGCACTACAAAAGTGTCAGCTGGTTAAGAATGACAGATTAAACAGTGGACGTCATTGGTGGTAAAACCAAAAACAGCTTGGGTGGCATTTAGGGGAGGCAGGAGGCAAAAGCTGTTCCATGGAAGTGGGAGGGAGAAAGGGCAGGGACAGGCTGTGGGCAACCACAAAGGAGGGTAGGCCCCAGAAAGGAAGAGAATAGGAATAGGCTGAGGGGAGGTTTCCTCTTTGCTCTGTCTTTTGGTCCTCATATCCTTGCTTCTGTCTATAAGAAGACAGACTCCTGAATGAACTTGCAGCCCAGTGAATACCAGGAAAAAGTGCAAGCTCAGGATGTAGTGAGGGAGATAAAATACCAGAAGTCAAAATTTTCTTTGTGACATAAAGTGAAGAGGATACCAGTGCCCCTGAATAAGCCAAATAAACGGAAGTGGAGGAAAATCCTGAAGGCCTCAGCTCTTTCTACCTAATAGGAACTGACATGTTTTGGATACTTTCTACACTCCAAGCATTGTTAAAAATCACTTTACATATGTGACTTGTTAAACTCTCCTGGCATCCCTGTGGGGAAAGAATCATTATCTTAACATTGAATTAAAGCAGGTGACACCCAGAGAGGTTGAGCTACTTGTCGGAGAGTGCATAGCTACAAAGTGGTAGAAGCAGAGCACAGAACTCCTGACATGGTTCTGTCTGTACTACTGAAATGGTATGCGCTTAGAGTTTCAAACGGCAACAATGAGTGAGAAACTGGTACAGCATGGTGGCTGAGTCAGGATACCCAGTGCTTGGTGTCTGCTTCAATTCATAATCTGAAAATCCGGGAGATTTCTGCTTTCCAAACTTGCCTTACCAGTTACAGGGGAAGAAAGGTTGAGAATCTTTAATTAATTAAATTAATTAATTAATATTTTTAAAAAATTGTTTATTTTTTAATTTAGTAAAATTTATTTACTTTGTATTCGAGCTGTAGCCTCCCCCAGCCCCTCTCAACCCTACCCTCCCTCTTTCTGCTCCCATACCCCTCCCCTAGTCCCCTGATAGGGGAGGTCCTCCTGCCCTTCTATCTGATCCTAGCCTATCAGGTCTCATCAGGACTAGATGCATTGTCTTCCTCTGTGGCTTGGTAAGGCTGCTCCCCCTCAGGGGGAGGTGATCAAAGAGCAGGCCACTGAGTTCATGTCAGAGACTGTCCCTGTTCCCATTACTAGGGAACCCACTTGGACACTGAGCTGCCATGGGCTACTTCTATGCAGAAGTTCTAGGTTATCTCCATGCATGGTCCTTGGTTGGAGTTTCAGTCTCAGAGAAGACCCCTGTGCCCAGATTTTTTGGTTCCGTTGCTCTCCTTGTGGAGCTCCTGTCCTCTCTAGGTATTTCTTCTCCCCCTTCTTTCACAAGATTCCCTGTACTCTGCCCAAAGTTTGGCTATGAGTCTCAGCTTCTGCTTTGATACGCT